CATATACAGATGCTGCCAAGATGTGTCTACACTTTATGACTTTCACTCATCTGAATTACTGTATAACAAGCTAGTCAAAGGCGAATCATAGTACTTTGAAACCACTCATTATACAAATAAGCACTCAAAACACGAGACAAAAAACAAAAACAAAGCACTTCCATCACTGCCCAGTTCTAAAAGAAAATATCTGATTTTGAGTTGGGATGACTTAAAATATGAAAATGTGTGTTTATTTCCCATGACTCAGCTCCACCACCACTTGTAGCCTATATCAGCAGAAGAGAGATTGTCGTATTCTGTTGGGGGTTTGTGCTTAGTTGTATTTTAGGTAGCCTTATGTAACATCTTGGCTAAGGGACTACAGAGGAAAAATAGCCTCTTGGCTAATTCTGACTTTTTTATACAATGTGTATTTATGATTTTGTACTGTCCCTTTTTAAATAAATCAAACTGAAACTGAGAATTACATTTTTCCTTATGAAAGAGTATATATATAAGTTTTAATCAAAAGTTTGTTAGTCTCAACTTTTCAAGCATCAGTTCCTCTTCAAATGAAAAACCTTCAAAAATCAACAAACCGTAAGTGCTGTACAAAAGAGAATGGAGTCAATATGATGAGATAGTTTCTGTTTTATTCTATAATCCATTGCAAAGGAATTAAAAGAAGACTGTTTGAGGGCGAGCCTCAGTAAAAGGGTTGCTGGTTGAGGCGGCAGATTATGGACTATGATTCCGGTTAGAGAATCAATGCACTTGGAGAGAGAGATCTGATTTATCTTCTTTTAATGAGGTTGTTGGACTTTAACATTGGTGTACAACGTATGTGTGTGTGTGTGGTCTGAAAATAAAGAAAGGCAATAAACTGTATTACAACAAATACTCTGCATATTATTCAGCAGTTATAACAAATAAACATTTCTAAATAAGCTGCTATATGAGCATAAGATTTTAAGGTTCACCAGTAATATCCCTAACTTACATGCAAACCGCTACTTAAGCATAATACAACAGCAGAGATGCAATATTAGTGGTGGAATAAGCAGTACAATATCCAACATAACATAAGCAGAAGCAAAGCATGCTAAACAGCATGGGAGCCTTACATATTGAATGTTGACCACAGTAAATAATTCGACCTTTAAACTTGTATTAACAATGAGCATGGTCACAATCACACAAATAAACTGAGTTCCAATGTTGGCATTACAAACGAAATATCATTAAATCCTCACAAGCATCCAAATGTAACTGCAGTGCTAGCAAGAGGCAGCTAGCTAGTACTGAGACACAGGCTACTTAGCTAACTCAAACTCACGCAACATATTACCATGCAAACAACACAAACTGGAATAGTGACCAGATTATCCACAACTAAAGGCAGAAAGCACTTACATTTCCTCAAGAACGCACACATCATTAGGGAAACACACAGAAAGTCCATGCAGCTTCACACGGTCTGCTCACTGACTGGTCTGCTGCTCGTCATTGTGACTGGACATGTCCTGACGTGTTCACTGCCAGCTCTCTTTGCGCCAGTAGATGGTGCTGTTGGACCTTGACCTGTAGGGCTTTCTCACAAGACATATGACATTTTGGGAATTATTGTTTTGCTTGGATTCGCTAAACCCAAGATAGAAAAGCAGCTGGATGTAGTATGAAGGAATGGGAAACATATCAACTCGGTATTAGAGAGAGCGGTATGTTTTACCATAAAGGTAAATAAGTCCTGTCACAGAGAGTACCAACCAGCGGTAACAGAGAGTAAGTGTGTTCAAATGGAGGGTTTGGATTGAGGCCAGCAGTGGTTTTCTGTACACTGTGTATTTAATCTGGTATTGTTTGGCCAGTGGTTGTAATTTGCACTAATGGAGCTTGAGATTTAGATTTCCCACGCAAATTAATATAGACATTGTAGTTTGTCTTGCCCTGCTTATTATAAAAAAAAGAATACAGAGATACAATGTTAGACTATTATATCACCTATCAATATGAAGCTTAGCCTATGATCAAATGAAATGAGCACAGTCAACCCATTTGGGTCTAGTTTTGGAAATGCTTAACTTGATTCAGCCACTACATCATTATTATAGTGTGTAGGATTTAGGGGGCTTAAATGGGATATAATATAATGTGTATGTTTTCTTGAGTTTATTGTCACCTGAATTTAAGAATTGTTGTGTTTTCATTACCTCTCAAGTTGTTTATATTGGAAGCGGGTCCTTATTTTCAGAGATCACCATGTTGCACTGCCATGTTTCTACAGCAGCCCAGAACAGAAAAAACTAACACTGGCTCTGAATAGGGCCATATGCATTTTTGCGGTTCGCAGCCCCCTTGTGATGAGAATGCCAGAAAAATACTTATTTTTTAAAACATGAAACTGCTTTATTCAGTGTTTTTACAGGTTTAAATCACCTTGTCTGTTTGTTTTGGAGAGGAGGAGACTTATGTGGATAATCCAGCTCCAAGTAAAAAACTTCTGAACATCTGGATCTTAAGTCATTGGAGAAAAAAGGTGAACGCACATTACCAGGAGCTATGCTAGCGGCCCATATCTGACATGCCAAACAGTGTAAGAGAAACACTGATTTGCAACTTGAAAATGCTTTAGTCAGTGTTTCTGGCAGTCTAAATCACTGAAACTATCCATTTTGGAGAGGAAGAGACCCCTGCTAATAATTCAGCAGGTAAAAACCAACAAAGGTTTTAGCTGGTTACAATCTGCAATCTTCACCACTAGATACCACTAAAGCTCCCTAAATAGAATAGAATAGAATAGAATTTATTCATCCCTGAAGGGAAATTCAACTGTCCATCAGCTAATAAAAAACAGCAACCACACTTCCCCTTATAAACAACAACACAGTGGTATTAAAACAGACATAAAATAAAATAAGTTAAATTAAGTGCATAAATAGAAATTAAACATCAAATTAAAATTAAATTAAAATTGTCCATTCCACAGTCCAGTCCAGTTGTGGCTAATGTGATGTGTGTGAGTGTGTGTGTGACTGGATTCAGGAGGTGTTAAACAGTCTCATTGCCATGGGGACAAAGGATCTGATGAAACATTCTCTTCTGCAATGCAGTGAGATGAGCTGACTGCTGCAGCTGCTCCTCTGTCACTGCAGGAGGCTGTGGAGAGGGTGTCTGCTATTGTCCATTATAGCTTTACATTTGTTTAATGTTCCCCTCTCCACCACAGTTCTTAGTGGGTCCAATCTCCTGTCGAGCACTGAGCCAGCTTTTTTAACCAGCTTGCCCAAACGCTTGGTGTTTTTGTCCATCAAGCTGCCTCCCCAACACACTGCAGTATATAAGAGTGCACTAGCCACCACTGTGTGATAGAACATGATCAACATCTCCACACAAACATCAAAGGACCTCAGTGTCCACAGGAAGAACAGGCAGCTCTGCCCCCTCCTGTCGAGGGTGTCAGTGTTAGAGGACCAGTCCAACTTATCATCCAGGAGGACCCCCAGATGTTTGTAGGTGTGCACCACCTAAATGGCCTCCCCCTGTATGGAGACTGGTTGATGGGGTGACCTCTTTCTTCTGAAATCCACCACCATCTCCTTGGTTTTGGCTGTTTCAGGTGGAGACAGCACTTACTGCACCAGTCCCTGAAGGCATCCACAAGGTCCCTGTGCTCCCGCTCCTGATCCTGATCGGCTGATACAAGCCACAATAGCTGTATCATCAGAGTATTTTTGTGTGTGGCAGGACTCTTAGTTGTACTTAAAGTCCGCTTTGTAGAGTGTGAACAGGAACAGTACTAAAACAGTTCCCTGTGGAGCACCAGTGCTGCTCCTGACCATCCCAGAGACACAGCTTCCAAGCCTGACATACTGAGGCAGCTCTGTCAGGTAGTCTGTTATCCAGGAGGTCAGGTCTCCTGAGCTCTGCCCTCACCTCGTCTGCTGACTATTCTCTAACCTGACTATTCTTCTTAAATAGCCTGTGGTGTTCAAACATGTGTTTTTACACACTGAACCTTTAAAAGCAGTTGGATAGCTGCTACCCCAACAGCACTGAACAGGAAAATAAAATGCAGTTGTAGACAAAGAATGAGTGGATGAAAGTTGTTTGAGAATGGCAACTTTGCAAATAGTTATCAAAAGTACAAAAAAAATTTTTTCGGAACATACTGTCCATATGGATAGATAGCCAAAGTTAATTAGCATGTCCCCTTGGACATAATTTTGAAGAATTTATATTGGTGGAACTAATATATTGAAAAAAAAATAATAACAAAATATTAGAAACACAACAGGTTATGTTATTGTCCATTCTTCTAGATTATTTTGGTCTTTCTTATTTAATAATATACAGTAAGAGAAAATGGAAAAAATGTGATCAATACTGTATAAACAACAAGCTTAAGGAAATATCTTTCAAGATATTACATAGAAGATTGTGTGAGAAAGATTCTTGCTGAATATGGATTATAAACTTCTTGGGTGAGGCGAAACTTCTTCAAGAAAAGCAAGCAAGTCCAGTTACCTACGATATATCACTTATGATTCCCACAGGTAGGAGTCCCTGGGGTAGACCCAAAACATGCTGGAGGGTTTATATATCTCATCTGGCCTAGGAACACTTTTAGGTCCCTCAGCAGAAGCTGAAAAGTGTTGCTGGGGAGAGGGACGTCTGGGGTGCTTTGCTTGGCCTGCTGCGACCCCTCCCTGGATTGGCAGATGAAAATGGATGGATGAGTGGATGTTGTATATCATACAACCCTTTATTATTTTGGAAAATTCCACAGGCATATCCATAAGAAAAAGATACCAAACCAACTTTCCTGCACTTTATTAATGAATTTAAACAATATAGAACCATAATATCTAAAGTTAAGAACAAAAAAAGCTATTGTCCCTTTGGACACAGTTGAGTTGAGTGTCCTGGCCTTCAAGTGTCAGTGTCACACTCCGGTCAGCTGGGGGCAGTAGAGTACCATGAATTTGTTCACCGACCGAGCGCACAGAGAGAAACAAGCGTGCGAGGCTGCGCTCACTCCTCCTCCTTATCGTGGGCTTCAAGACACGCACTCTATGTAAGGTGGAAGTAACTTTTATCCTCCAGAGAAGAGTTATAAACCAGCCGGAATAACATTATACATTTGGTCAAAAGTGTCACGGCAAACGATAACCATGTCGGCCACATCGGCGAAAGTCAACAGAAAGGAGAATTCAAATCACGACGGAGCGGACGAGACCTCTGGTAACGTTAAGGAATGGCGGTTATCATGCACAACGCCATTTTCATTTGTTTTTCGTCATTTTGTTATTTTCAGTGTTGTTTGTTATCTTGTATTGAGTAATTTATTTTCATGGACGAGCAGTCTTATTTACCTTTTCCTGCATATAACGGTACACATCGGGGCTAAATGCTGTTGTGCAGGACTATGCAGTAATGTAGCATGCTAGCACAGGCTAAGTATTTAGCCAGCGTGAGAGGTTAGCTAGCCATTAGCTTACATTAGCTACTAGTTCACATGAAGGAGGCCGGTATTTGCATTGCATAAGCTGCATTTAGCGCGATGTACAGTTATTGTTTATGCAGGCAATATGTGAAGGTTAGTTGTAGGGAAGCTACGTTACTGATGAAATCGCGTGCAGCCGTGCGTTTCCTCGTGCATGTTTGTGCCTAGAGCTTCTCAGGCGACTGTTTGCTCACATTATTAGCAAGTGCAACATTCACTGTAACCCGTTTACATCGGTCAACAAAGGCCGAACACAGATATCGTTAACGTTAGCTGTTGAGTTTAACATAACCGTGTTTACGAACTTGGCTTTTGTGTTAGTTGGTAGCTGAGCAAAATGTAAACAAGCGCATCTTTTTCTTTGAGATAGCTATAATGTCGCTTTGAGGCGGTACTGTGGATGTTGATACATATTTAATACGCGCGAAGAGGCTTTGGAGGACCTCGCGGTGTGTCAATATCCGTGTGAAGCAGATGGCATTTTGCAGCGAGACGCCGTTAAGCCCCTCATTCAAACCAGGCCGCCTTTAGCAGCAACAGGAAGCTCTAGAGGCAGAGGGTCTGTCTGCCATGGATCCAACACACACACACACACACACACACACACACACACACACACTCGCGCGAACCAAACACACCACGGCTGGCGTCCCGCGTTATTAAACACACTGTGCATGCAATGGAGAACTGGCTAGGAAATGAGCTCGTGTGGCTTCATGAGGCTTTTTGTTTTACTGAAATCACCATTGATTATCAGCCAAATGAGTTGTACATCGTCATATTGCATATAGGCAAAAAAACAATCCAATATGGTGCATCCTTAGTAGTTTAGGTTCACAGAGAATATTTTGACTTTAATTATTTTAAAACATTTTAATGAATGACTTTGGGAATTGTTTAAGCACGAAAAGAGGTGGGGGGGGTTTCTTCACACAAAGTAAAGTTGTTATGGGTTCCAGACGGATTTATGGCTAAATTTACACCAAAATTGGCTTTTTGTTGGAGTGAAGTTGTTATAACAGCCTCGATTAAAAGGATAAAATAAAGGTCTGTGGCTACAGTAAATGTCAGGTGCATGTTGGGAAGTATCTCATCCCTTATTATTAAACTAAATGGCTTTTCATTCCTCCCAATATCCTCCCAAATAGTGATGTTTGTGTCATTTCATGGAGTTGCATTTACCAGAAGAATTTGGATTTTTTAGGCAGATTAGATATGGATAATTAACCGTTTTAAAAAAATCTGTTATTGATTTGTTTAACTTGTTTTTACATTTCTTTAATTATCCTCAACTAAGGAAATGTCCTTAATTATAAATTTGTTTACATAAACTCATAGCACATTGAGCATCTGAGTTGGATATGTTCCAGTGTAAAAATGGACTTGTAACTGGTTTATATTTCACTGAAAGCGCAGATGATCTTGAGGTTATAATTCCTCTGTCAATTACATAAGGACATCAGGGATACAAAAGTGCCTTGCCACAGGTGAACCCTCACACAGTGACAATTTTCCAGTGGCTTCCATTGAGTTTTCAAGTTGTTTCTGATCCTGACATTGTGTGTATTCTGTCAATATGACTTTTCACTGTGGCTGTCCAAATTAAATCTTTGAGAAGCAGAAAGGCTTCAATAGATCTACTTGGCCCTGGCCTTTAGCTATGGCACTGCAATCCAATGAAGCTACTCATATCTAGCACAGTGCAACATGTCACAGGAATATGTGAATATTTAGTTGGATATATGTTACAATTTATTGACTTCTCACTGACATTGCATGATGATATGAACTTGTTTTATTCTAAAATCTTAAAAAAAAAATGTTCCTTTTCCTTTCAGAAAAAGAGCAACAGGAAGCAATTGAACACATCGATGAAGTACAGAATGAAATTGACAGGTGAGTTTGACTCTTGTTTATAAGTAATTAAAGATTGGTGCATGGACATGACATGACATGTTTTTGTTGTCTTCCTCTACAGACTGAACGAACAGGCAAGTGAAGAAATATTAAAAGTAGAGCAGAAGTACAACAAATTACGCCAGCCTTTCTTTCAGAAGCGATCAGAACTCATAGCCAAAATCCCCAACTTCTGGGTCACAACATTTGTCAACCATCCACAAGGTAAACTATCCTGTTTTTATATCTGTGCGTATGTGTGTGTATGCGTATGCTGACTCTAGCCTTAAGAGCTGTCAGTGCTTGCAACAGAATGATCATCAGTGGAATAGGCAGCCATTGTCTCTATTTGATGTATTTCTCATTAGCACACAGTAAACTGATCAGCAGCTAACAGTGTCTGTGCTTGGCTTGTGTGTGTGACCTGTAGTTTCAGCTCTTCTGGGGGAGGAGGACGAGGAAGCACTTCATTACTTGTCAAGGGTGGAGGTCACTGAGTTCGAGGATATCAAATCTGGATATAGAATAGATTTTGTGAGTTTTCAAGTTGAGTTTATATTTGAATAATTTAAATGGCATACCTGGTGTATACTGATACAGATGTGTTTTCTCTTCTGTAGTATTTTGATGAGAACCCGTACTTTGAGAACAAAGCCCTCTCCAAAGAGTTTAATGTAAATGAGAGTGGAGATCCTGTTTCCAAATCGACTGAAATCAAATGGAAGGCTGGGAAGGTTGGTTTGCATTTTTCCATGGTTTGTATGTAACGTTATGAAAATTATTTAATTATCTTTCATCTATTACTACACAACTACACATCTATTAGTGCAACAGTTAACAACAGTTATAATTTTAGGACCTGACCAAGCGCACAGGCCAGACGCCAAACAAAGCTGGTAAGAAAAGGCAGCATGAGGAGCCAGAGAGCTTCTTCACCTGGTTTACCGACCACTCAGATGCAGGAGCAGACGAGCTGGGAGAGGTGATCAAGGATGACATCTGGCCTAATCCGCTGCAGTACTACTTGGTAGGCTTATCGCTCCTCATTTTGGTTTGTTCTGGTCTTTAAGAGCATTCAGACAGGAAACAGCCCTGTGGTAAAACAGTGCAAGGTGCTTTGTTGGCAGGGGCTTGTTGCTTGAGGTACTGGTGACATGAAGACACAATACAAATAAGTCTGAATGCCCATGAGACACAAAAACATTGCACTGGTGTTTCTAATCTGAGACAGACTTCTCCAGCTCAAAAAAGTTCTCACAGTAGCAGTTATTTTAAATTTTGTTGTGAGATAAAAAGAAGAAAAAAAGTGTTTTAAAAAGTAATCCATCGTAAGTTGAGTGTCAGGGAAAGGCCATGATGGGCTGATACTGGCCCTCCAGGTAATGGGTATGGCTCACTGTAAGCGATTTCATTTGAGAAAAATGTAAAATATTTACACTGTTGTTTTAATATAAAACTTATTTAAATCCACCCTTTCAATAACTCTTAAAATACTTGACAAAATAATCTTAATTTCAACTCACGTCACAGTCTATGTCAGAGGATGAATTTTGTCATGTTTTTCTTTTTTTTTGGTATATCTATGGTACATCAAGTACAGTATCTTAAAACACTGGTGTTGGGCCTGCAAAATCCTGTTATTTGAACCTCATCAGCATGCTGATCTAGAGGTGGACTGATATATTGGCGTATTGCAGATACTAGGGGTGAGGGAAAATCGATTCATTCTAGTATTTCGATAATTTTATGTGGCAATATAGTATCATCACACTGTTCCAAGTATTTATTTTGTATTGTATAATTTATTATATAAGAATTGTTTTATAATTATTATTCTATAATAAATTGTTAATCTTACTAATATTATAAATACAAATAAATCTCGAGGTAGCATACTGCATAGCATCAATTGCATTTTTCAGTGCACTACCTATATTTTGCTGCAAATAAAATGGCTGAAGTGAGATGAACAGACTGAAACCTTTATCCTATTAAATATAACAGATGTTTTGATGAAGTTTTCCTTTGGGAACATTTACAGTTGAAAGTTAATAAATAGCAGTATATTTTATTGCAATACTCAGCGTATCGCAACAAAGTTAAAATGCCATTTTTTAAATCAGTTTTACCTTCAGAAATCTTGTCTCAGTACGTCTCTCTCATGAAATGTTGAACGTAGTGCTATACTAGTCTGAAAAATGGCAAAATTATTGTAAGTGAGGGTCAGGCTTGCAAACAGCAGGGTTTTAGTTCATTGCAGTAGGGATCAAGAATTGTCTCAGCTCAATCATCAGTCATGGTTAGGAATACATCACCCCCAGATGACCAATTATATATCAGTTACTCACCCTGCGTTATGGTGAACTTGTGAGGAAAACTTTGTTTTTCTTGTATGCCTCCATGGTTAACAAAGAATCCAAAAACTGAGAAAATACTTGATAAATTGAGGTCATGGGGGACTTTGTTTAACAACAGCAAAACTATTTCGAAACATCTATTTACAAACTCACAGAACTTGTGCAGTATAATCCCAGTCTCATTTATTCAGTATTTTGCTCAGTACTTCTCAGACAGATACTCCATTGACAAAAAAAGTTATTTGACTTTGCTGAACATGGGAGCTGCTGGTCTACCGCTGCTTTGCTTGGTAGTTTATTTGTGTTATTTAGTGACATTGATGAATCCAAGCTAACCCACAATAACAACAAACTGATTGAGGCAATGGTAGACCAGCAGGTTTCTTGTTTAGCAAGATGAAATTACTGTTTTTGTCAATGGACTCTGGCATTAAAGAAAGCATGATACAGTGTGTACAGTTTATGCTTTAACTCAGTTCCCAATTGGAAAGGGCTGTCTGTTTGGGAAGTACTAAGTATATGACTGGATAAATGAGACTTGGATTATACTGCACAAGTTATGTGAGAGTTTGTTAACAGATGTTTTGACATAGTTCTGCCTGAGTAAAGGTGGACCCCTATGACTTAAGTTCATCAAGAATTTTCCTCATTTTTTGATTATTTGTTCATGAGAGAAAAACAATGTTTTCTTCACAAGTTTAATATAACACACAGTGAGTAATTGATGTACAAATGGTCATTCGGTGGGTGAAGCATTCCCCTAACACTGAAGTATTAAAGCATGTAAGCCAGGGCTAAGTAGACTTCTGAATGTCCCAAAGGTCCCTGACATGGAGGATGAGGAAGGTGACGGCGATGATGACGATGATGAAGAAGAGGGCCTGGAAGATATTGATGAGGGAGAGGAAGAAGAAGGTGAAGATGATGATGAGGATGGTGATGGAGAAGATGGAGAGGTAAGGATACTGTAGATCATAATCAAACACTACTTTGTTGAACCAGTAATTGGAATCACTCAGTATGTTTACATGACATTACAGAGGATTGATTTATTGAGTTAGTCTGAATAAAACTGGACTGCCTCCAACAGACAGTAAGATGAAAGCAATCTTATACATTTAGTGCAAACTTCACTGTGCAACATAGGTCAAATAAACTTGAGTATGACATCATCTTTGATGTATGTAGCCTGTACGATGACAGCACCTACTGAATCCCAGGCTACGACATGCGATGCAATAGCTTCCCATTGCACAAAGATACTGCACGGGTTATTACTTCTCCAACTGTGAAGCACAACATAGAGGGTCACATCATTAAATAACCTGAAGTTTTTAGGCACTATATACTGCAGTGTGTCTGTGTGTGTTTCCTAGCTGCTAGATTACTCACCTGGCAGCTGCAACTCTGCCACTATTTCTCTACATACTTTGTCCTTCTTTACATGATCGCCACCTGTTGTTGTGGCAGCAGACATACTTTGGTCAATAAATCGATTCCCCTCCCATGCTTGTATACTGGGACAAGGACAGAAGTCCAATTAAATGGCCTAGTTGAGCTATAACCGTAGCTCAACTTAACTGTGCATGTAAATGTACTGAATGATGAATTGGGTGAGGACACTTGCTCTTATTGTGCTGTAGAAGTCCTGAAGATACTTAATAATAGCAACCCAAAAGACCTCTGAAATGTCAGATGATGGAGCAACTAGTGTAATACTTTTTCTTTCTTTCAGGATGACGGTGAGGATGATTAAACATTTCAGCCAACACCTTTTCCCAGTCCTCCCTCTGTGATCATCCTACAACTCACGGGAGCAAGATATTTTGTTTGTTTGGGGGGGGGGGGTTTGTAAAAAAAAAAACAAAAAAACTTTTTTTTCTTTCCTGTGTGTCGTCAGCCTGTCCGTCCTCTTCCTCTGCAGCCACGGCCTGTCCATTACTCATAATGCCATGTCTAAAGACCAGCTCCATACACAGCGGGTCTCCATTTGGTGGGGTGGGGGTGTCAGTGGCTCTCCTAAAGTCTCACCTGTCATTGTTTCTCTACATCTCCCAAAGACATGCAAAAGAATAAAAAAATTTGTAGCATTCTGCACGTCATCTACGTAGATTTGAAATACGTACCATAGCAATTTCTATGTAAAATATGACAATATGACAGTTTCTGTTGAAGTTGTGAGTTCAATAAAAAATAAGCCATGGTGCAGTGATAACTTAATCAGAGCATCCTTAGCCACTTTTATATATATAAATGTATATTATAATATATCCAGTGGTGGGGGATCCTAAGGCTTATTAGAAGTTGCATTTTCCTTTGTGACTTATTGTACTAATGGAACTGATTGAAAGCACCAGCTTGTTCCTTTCAACTGTTGTAAATGTTTTTGGGATATACATGTATCTTGGTAAGACAGTTGTTCATTGTACACAGTTTAATGGGGGAGGTGTGGTGGGGCAGCGGGGCTTTGATGCCAACTCTGGACTTCTGTTAAATTTTCATTATTTTGTTTTTCAGGCACCCACAACAAGGTTTGAAATGTACATTTTTTTATAGAAACAACCTAAAAATCTAATTTTGAGCTTGACCTAACATTTTGAGATGGGAGAAAAAATTATTTCTGTGGAGTCCTCTGTGGAGTCTGCAGTGTTTCTCCTGTTCCACTGGAAACCTGTTCACATTAAATTAAGTGTACCAGTTGCTTTGTTACAATTAATAAATGTATACATGATGTTTGAGGGAGTTTGATTACATTTGAGCATTTCAGCTGCAGTTGTTTGACAAAACCGTCACCATGCTTTGTTAGTCAGTCCACAAGTTACACAGGCAGTTAGGCTTTTAAAATGTCATACAGCAAACTAGCAATTATCTAGCAACAGTTGATGTATTTATAGACAAATATGAAACAGATGCATAAATTTGTTGTATAAAATTTACTGGCTCTGATGTTACCATTGTTATTTCTTACTGTTAAGAATTGTGGGTTAACAGATGACTCAGAAAGTCTGTTTGAGCCCATTGATTTAAAGATGTAACACTTGTTTGATCCAAACATTTAAGTAAAGGGAAGATATATGACACGGAAAAAAGATGGAGGAAACTGATTGTTAAAAATACAGAGCTCATCTTTAGTAAACTGCATTGAACAAAAATTTAAACTTTTGTTTTTGCTCCTATTTTTCACAGGTTTTAAGTTAACAATACCAGGCTTTTTTAAGCACTCAATAGATATATTTCTGGCAAAATTCGGTCACAAATTAGTTGAAATTCATGTTGGTGAGCACTTCTCCTTTTCCAAGATAATCCATCCACTTGACAGGGATGGCATATCAAGATTCTGATTAAACGGCATCATCACTACACAGGTTTACCTTGGGATGGTCACAATAACAAGCCACTCTAAAATGTTAGTTTGATCACAACAAAATGCTACAGATGTTGCAAGTTTTAAGGTAGTGTGCCATCAGCATGCTGATTGCAGGAATGTCCATCAAAGCTGTTGCCTGCATACTGAATGTTTGTTTCACTACCATAAGCTGTTTCCAATGCTGTCTATTAATTTTGAAGTACATCAGTATGTTGTAATGCTGTTCATTCAGCATCTTGATATGCCACACCTGTCAGGTGGATGGATTGTCTTGGAAAAGGAGAGCGCTCACTAACATGGATTTAAAAAAATTTGGGACCGACGTTTGATAGAAATTTCTCTATTGGGCACATAAAAAAGTCTTCAATCTTTAACCTAAACCTGTGAAAAATGGAAGCAAAACAAAAGTGTTGCATTAAATTTTTTGTTCTGTGTACTTTGTACCTACCTCTGGTCTGACTTATCCCGCAAAGAAATAAATCTAACTTTGTAAATATAAACCAACATTTCACTGTTCCCTTTATGATTAATCAGATAATTTACCACATACCAAACACATCATATTCTTGAAATAAAACATGTCATGCAGCTCTCCCACCAAAAGATGGCAGACATCACATAAACATGGATGTAGGAGAAAATTGTTAGGCTGTGACCTGCACAAGGCCCGGAACAACCACAGATTCCAGCGTAAACTGACAGTCATCAGCACCATCACTGCTTAGGTGAAATTTCAGACAAATGTTTCAAAATGAATGTAACTATCTGAGCGATCTATTTTGATATGTTAGGCCTGTGCCTTTTCTTGTTTTTCGTCTGACACGATGGTGATTGCATCCATAGTTAACGTAAAACATGAAATACACTGTTGACATGCACGGCCTGCTTGTGGTGTCTGTGGCTCAGTGGCTGCTGGTGAGCTTATGTGTAACATAAATACTCCAAGGAAACCTTGTTTCAATATCAGAAGGACACTCATTCAACAGAGCAGGCTACATGTTTATCATGCAGGATCATGCTCAGGAATCGAAATCTACAGGTGGGCCTTTACAAAGAAAAAATGATGTCAGTGATAGTGGTTAAGTTGCCAGACTTTTGTCTCCGTTTTAAAAAATGGTGCCGTGCATTCAAACACCCATACTACCATACTAATTAGTATGCCAGAATAAGATTTCATATGTGAAATGCAGTATGCTCAAAAACATCTCCATCCGGTCCGATTTTGCAGTAGGCTGTAGAAGCCGACACCTTTCTGGCTATTCTGACCCACAATCCACTGCGCAGCGGACGGATATATGTGTCAGAGGGTCGAAGTTCAGGGTGTAACGTTATGAAGAAGCATTGGGTATATCCCTATATCCCCATTGTATTTTTTCCCCTACTAGACACCATCTCGCCCAAACTGTTATTTATTTATTTTAATTTTCGAACATTAGTACAATAGCTATACAAAAACATACTCTTGCAACATCTCCTTGAGGACGCTCCTTCTATTAAATACAGAGCAAAAATAAAAGTCAATCTCGTTAAAGACGAGGAAAAAAATAAAAACGAATAATTAAACAAAATAAAATAGACTAAGGAAGAGATTTATATATACATAAACAAGTATTGGGAACGGTAAGTTGGATGGAACATGAAACATAATTTAAAAGAACAAGAATTGAGAAAGGTAGACACTTACTTTTCTTGCAGTCCTGCTAGAGTTCTTTTTTTCCGGTGACAAGAAAAACACCGTTAAGTAATTTGTAAACCAGTTAAAGGAACGCTTACGATTCCTCCTCTTGCTACAATGAATATGGTATTTATTATGTCAGAGTATGTCCCGATTGTGTGCATACTGCACAGTAGGTACTTTTTAGGGACAGCTGCAATACTTCCTAAAAGTAAAAGAGAAAAGTATGTGATTCTGAACAAACCCTGGTGTCAGTTCTATTAAAGTCAATGGGACAGACGCAACCAATCTGTTGTTTCCCTTGCCATTTAGTCTCGCCACCAGACAATCAGAGATCTTCGCCTTCTGATTTTAGTTAAGCAAAGCGTCTAAAGACTGACTTGTGAGTCTACTTGCCATTAGTCTCCAAGCAGATCATGGCCTTTACATTTTCCTTGGGCTTTAAAATTTAAAATATACTGGAATCTGATAATCGTGTTGTTACGAACTGTTCAACTGTGTAGAAATGTACAAATTAACACACCCTGAAAATAAAATGATTTACTCGCAATTGAAGACCAAATAACTTTGTTTTGTATTATTTATGTTGTATTATTTGTAATTCGTATCTTTATTTATTTAAATTTGTTCATGTTAAGTTTTCTTTTTTCTACTCAGTTGTATGTCCATTTACTTTGATAACACAGGACTTGCCTTATTGTTGTAATCTAAATTGTTTAATAAAGTTTAGTAAAAAAAAAAAAAAACAACTTTGTGTTTATGTTGTTCTCTCGATTTTTTTCAATTTAAATACAATTCTTCGACCGCTACCCATCAAAACACTACTGTAAGAGGAACGTGTAGGATTTTTTCCTGCATTAAAACAATGAAACTATACTTTATAGTTCCGTTGGATAAAAAGCGGAAGTGAAGAGGGGATTTCTCTCTTGCCTCTCCGTAACCAAGGTAACGGCAGCTTTATGGGAAATGGCAAACGTTTCGGTTCAGATGCTACACAGCTAACGGACCGATGTAGCTGTGTGAAAAGTACTGTTCATTATTAGGTTTTTCTTTAGCTAGTGAGCTCACTGTCATTAGCATGTTCACTGACGAAGCCCTGGACTCAGTGAGTGTCCAGTCTCTGTGGAGGACATCTCAGCAGTCAGCGCAGGAGTCGGTATGTTTGACTAGCAGTGATAACTTTAGCTCCCATAGTAAGCTGTTAGCACGAATCACAGTGATGCCTGTAGTTAGCTGCCGGATATCTAACTAGCCGACACGTCACATACAGGCGTTCAAGTGCTCGGGAATGTAATAACCACAAGGAAAAGCGATATAAAGAAACTTAACACTGCATCAACCCTTCTGAGACTCATATAGACTCATTTTCTGCCTTTTTATTGGGGGGGCAGGTCAACCCTATATGCCTCATAGAAGTGGTAGGCTAGATATCATCTGAAAACGGATTGAGAAGATACAGCTCAGCACTGAGTGTCAAGTTTTTCTAAATATAAGTCTGTAGTAAACTTGGTGTTAAGGTTAGACGCCTATTCATTTTTTTTAAGTATATAGAGTGTATAGGGGACTGTTTTTATCAGAGGAAGGGGGTGCCTGTGTGCTCCTTGAGCCTCCCTGAGTGACCCCCCCTTCATCATAAATTAGTTATTAGATTTTTAAAACGTACCCTTTGATGCTTTAAAACTTTAAGATTAAATCCTGAATTTGAAAAAAGCCTCGGGTTTTCACCATTGTTGTGCATGCTGGTTAAATCATGTGAACGGTTAAGTTTTGCCCAAATTTCTAATGAGATGTAGAATAAAGTGAATTTCATGAAGTATCACTATTTTAAGCTCAGATTTGGTTATGCTTTTTTCTGATGGAAGCTTTTTCGCACATGATGTGTCCAAGGACTGTCTGAAATTTGAAATTTGGTTTCTGGCTATGATAAATGGTGTAAATTTGGTCATTAAAAAAACATGTTGAATGTGGTACATCTTTTCTTTAAAAATGAACAGTACAGTAAACACAAAATATAACCGTTGAAATTTGCATGCCCCGCCCCTAAGCCAAAATAAAAAAAAAAACATATGTCCTTTCCCAGTACTTAAAAGTTATTTGACAGGCCTCCCCCTTTTTGCAACACCTCCTCCCCCCTCATAGATAACAAACAGTCCCTAGGGGCATAGAACTTAATGATGTAAATATATCATGGCCAATCCCATGATTAGCTGTGTCTCATAAATTGCTGCAGCATTTATTGGGTCGAAAGCTTTGGTGCTATATTAAAGCTTTTTTTTTCTACTTAAGAATTGATAAAAATGGTCAAAAATTCCTCCAAGACACCAACACCTTCAGGAACACCACAGAATAACCCATGCTTTGATTTGTTATCTAAAACCTTTGACATTTGGAGATTTCTGTAAAAAGAGCCATTTTCTGCACTGTTCCTGGAAACAGCTGAAAAACCCCTTATTGTCAATACAGCTATAAAAGCCATCCATCCTCTGAATGGTCTGTAGTTTGTGGTAGTGTTGTCAGGATACCAAAATCTTTGTTTCGGTACCAATACCAATATGAATTTCGATACTCTTCGGTACTTTTCCTAAGGAAAAGTCCTTTTGGATACAAACCTTTAGAACAATAAATAGTAGGGGTGTAAAGGTACCAAAGAAATCATGGTTCGGTAAGTACCTCGGTACGGACTTCACGGTTTGGTAACTCAAATGTTCCACCAAGTTTGTGTTGTCTCGTGTTGTCTCCCTTTGCAAGGCAGACTTTCTCTTGTCTTTTTTCACGTGCGCCAGCTGTGAATGTTGATACAGGTGTTGTCATACACACCACTTGCGCAATCTGTGCTCCAGTAGGAACAAGAAAGGCATTTGTGTGCATAATTGAGTAAAATAAATTAACTAAAT